CTTCTGCTTGCTTTTCTCCCTAGTCTGAGCCAGAATTAAATTTAGCTTCTGTTTTCCAGATTTGGGTCATCTGTGAGTTTAACACCCAGAAAATGAAAGTGAAGACAGGAGGACACTTGAATAAATACAGAGTTGGGATGATAATAACAGACCAGATAATAAGAGAAGGAAGACAATAATCTTAACATAAACAAAGATAACAAACACACCAAGACAGATTAAGGTGGAGGAAATTAGGAAATCCGAGGTTCTTGTAAAGTGGCGGACTTTATCACCAAGTGTATTAGCAAAATAATTCCTTCTATCATGACATGAGATGGGGTAGGATCTAAGCTCGGATCATTGTAAATAAGTGCTTTTTGTTTTTAGCTCATAAATGTCTAGCAGGACAGTCAGATGTCGTGCAGGGTGTGGGATAATTCAGCTTACAACTGACTAGTGTCATGGTGACTACGAAGATCACGCCCACAAATCCCCCGCGCTGCCTCTAGCGGGACGTCTGTCACTCATTCACCTCTGCCACCAGGGCTTCCGGTGACCAGCTGAGCCCACTTCTTAAGCCCACTTTTGAGCTTCAGTCTGCTCATCTGTAAAGGGAGAATGGCCACAGCACCTGGCGTGTGAAAGGGCTTCTTCCAGAGCCCGGCCCTGGGTGTACTGCGATTTATCCCATTCTTCAAAGAAGGAAAACCGAGGCTCAGAGAGCGACTTGCTCAAGGTCACACGGCTGGAGAGTGACAGCAGTTCCAGGGCTCCTTCTAAGTCAGCACAGCTGACCAAACAGTGGCAAAGGTTTGGCAGCCATGTGTATGGAAGCATCTGTCCGGGATTCGTCCTTCCTCCCTTCCTCCCAAGCAGTGCTGGCTTTGAAGCAAACCAGGCGCTGAGGATGTCCAGGACTACACACCCTGCCCCCGGGGAAGCTCTGAGCAATGGGGGAGGTGGGTCTCTAGCAGATTTAGTGTACATTCCTATCCCCCAAACCACACATACCCTCAGGACATAACCCTGATTTCATTTTGCTTTCTCCATAGCATTCAGTTATTTCTAACCAAAAATATCTTTTTTATTTGTTGACTTCCCTATGATTTGCCCCCACCAGAACGCAGTTGTTGGTTTGGCTTCGTTTAGTCAGCAGTAAAAGGAGTAGGCTCTGCAGTGGGTGGACTGGGTCCAATGCTTGGTTCTACCAGCTGTGTGCCTTTAGACAAGTCATTTAGCCTCTCTGTGCCTCAGTTTCCTCATTTGTAAAATGAGGTTAATAATAGTACCTACCTAGGAGGATTATTGTGAGGATTAAAGGACCAATTTTTATAAAGGCTTAGCACAGTACCTAGAACATGGTGAGTGTTCAGTCATTGTTAGCTGTTGTTATCATTATTTCTGAGGGCAGGAATCTTGTCTATCTTATTGTGGTTGTACCCCTGATGCCTGCCATACAGTCGGTGCTCAGTAAATGACTAGTTGGCTACAGAGAGCTGTGCTGAGATCAATATTGCTTTTACAGCTTCCAGATGCTCTGTTCTGAGGGAACTGAGAGGCCCAGTCCTAGTTCCACAGAGGACTGTGAAGACAAGTGTCCTTCCCTCATAGAGCTGGGAAAGAAGGTCTCCCTGGCCTTGATCGTGCATGTGCTGGAGGAATGAAGCCTAGACCCTGGGGGGAGGGCCAGAGGGAGGGGACTTTTGGGAACCCATTGGTTGGACCTGTAGGGCTGAAAAGATGACTCAGTGGGAAAAGTCAAAAGGTGTGTTGTCCATCCTCTAGCCTCCAGGTATGATTAGGCCATTAACCATATGCCAGCCTCCAGGAAGTTTATTTTCTTTCTGCTCAAACTATGCCTTCGTGACATTCCAGGAGATTGCCAGGCATGCCTGTTACATCCCAGTATGGTCAGTGAATACAGGGAGCTGGGGGAGCTCTCAGGAGGGTACTCAGGGGATGAGGGTGGGGAAAGAATCAAGGCAGACTTCCTCGAGGCAATGAAGCATGAATAAGAATGACTGTGGGAAAGATAACAAGACATGCCCAATTCCAGAAGTTAAACCATCCAAGTTAGGAAAGCCTGAGTAGCCTGAGGGATGTGCAGAAGTCTGGCTCAAAGATCAGGAGCTTCCCTTGAAGGCAGAACATGTGGTCAAGGTGGGTTGGTGACATCACTGTAAACCAAGGAGACTCAAGAAGCTTCAATGAGGTGAAACAAGATATGTCTGTATGATCTTATAGCCCCAGTCCAGAGAATCCCTCAAACTTGGGTGCTGTGTTTGGAATCATTTTTGGCTGTGTAAAAATATCATCTTGAATATAAAGGGATGCAATATTGATAAGAATGTTAAATGCACATACCCCCGAGGAGTCTGCTCCCAGTCTTGTTTATAGTCGTGAAAAACAGGAAACAACATAAGTGTCCATCAGTAGTTGACTGATCAACATCTTTCTGTGAAATACCCTGTAGCCATTAAAAAGAATAAGCTTCATCTCTAGCTCTGATGAGAAAGTTGTCCGTAATAGACTATTAAATGAAAAAAAAGTAGGTTACAGAACACGAGGTATACTATAATCTATTTTTTTGCATTACATTTATTGAAATAATATAAATAACAGAGAGTAATTGTTTTCAGCATAATGTAGGTGTCACACATTTCTCCTTGTAACCAAAGAAGATACATAGCCAGATAAAACAACAGTAGAAGATGCTCGAATGAGAAATCCTATTACTGGAAGTCTCCCTAGAGATCAGCAAATCCAACCCCATTTAACAGATGAGGAAGTAAGGACCAGAGAGGCTAACATTCTCCACTCTACAAATGTTTAGGGCATTAACCATATGCCAGGTACTTGCTTAGTGCTGGGATATAAAAGTAAGCAGAACATGGTACCCACACTCAGCAGACTCATAGACAGGCTAGTATCCAGCATGTTACACACAGTGTAATAAGTAATGTGAGAAAAGCACATTCAAACGTTGGTGCCCCCAATCCAGGTTTGTGAGTAACTCCCAGAGAAGGTCATGTGTTAGCTGACCTGGAAGGATAAACAGAAGTCAGATAGACCAGGAGGTCACGGAAGAGTGTCCCAAGAAGGTCAAAAGGGGGAAAGTGTAGTGCATTTAGTTAACCAAAGGAGTTGGAGTACAGGAGAATTTTAGTCTTGGATTTAAGAGACATTAGTCTCCTGTCTCCCAGTTCAGCGCTATTTTTTAAATACTACCTGTCTCTGTAGCTCTATTGATGAGTATATAATCATTCAGCACATCTATCCATTTTTCTTGCATAGAAAAAAGAAAACATGCATGGTTCATGTTTACCCACGTATAGATATTAAGATTTTCCAAACCCTGTTGCTGAAAGTGTCTTTTTAGAGGAATAACCACTTTATAGGATAGACTTTCATTTACCCTAAAATTTTTATGTCAATCAGGTCGTGCCATAGAACTCAACTCTGGAAGGGACTTTTAAAGGGTCATATTGTCAGTGGCAGGAGGCGGGTAGTAGGAGCAGCCTGTCACTCTAGTAAAAGGGTCATTGTCTATAAACTGACCCCAGTCATCTACTGTTTATTATCACCATCAATTCTCAACAATGTCAGTAATAAAATGTCTCCACACACAGCTAACTGATCCCACAGATTCCTTTCCCCTTAGTACGATAGGGCACTCAGTATACACCTACACATGCATAAAGAATAGGACCAAACAGACTTTAGAAATAGCAGAAGTATCCAGATTAGCCATCTATTCTGCTCATATTACAATATATTCTCCATTCAGTTTCCTTTAGTGGGAGAGGGTATAGTTCAGTGGTCGAATGCGTGCTTAGCATGCACAAGTTCCTGGGTTCAATCCCCAGTACCCCTTATAAATAAATAAATACATAAATAAATAAATAAACCTAATTACCCCCCCCAATTTCCTTTTGTAAACAAGCCCGAGTAGTCAAAAGCACATATGTACAAAAATAACAATAATGTTTATCTTCCTAAAATTATGGTATTTAGCCTCAGTGAAGAATCTCATCTCCTCAACCTCAAATCCATTTCCAGCTGCGGCCACGGGCATCTGATGTCAGATGCTGTCACGCCCATAACAACAGGCTCACCTGGAGCAGTCCTCACTCACCTTCTCCGCTGGACAGCTCAGCAGGTGCTCCATGGAGTAAACACCAAGAGGTCTTTAATGTCTAGCTGTATGTTGAAAAACCAAACGGACAATGTCACACTGTCATTTTTGGTGGTTTCCTGGACAGGATAACAATCTGTGACTGTATAAATCCAGGTTTCCTATGGTCTAGCTGACTTTTTGCTGGACAACATCTGGGCAGTGATGTGCTCCCGAGGCCTCCTGTGGAATACTGGTCTTCAAAGGTGGCGTTCTGAGGAAAGGCAAGAGGACCCGGGAGGTCCATCAGGGTAATTTTGAATGCTGCTTGGTGTCTTGTTAACCTCAGATATCACTCCAACCTTCCAGAGAAAAATCTGTTCAAATAATCTCCTGCAGGGGATGACCAGTGCCCTGCAGATTGAGCAGGTGGTGGAGAGTCAGACACGGCTGTGGAGCCCGCTGCTCTGTGAGGGGCAGAACCCAGTGCCCCTCCCACCACTGGGTGCCTCCTCGGGGTGCCCACCATCCCCCCTCACCCACTTCCCCACTCCCCCACCTCAAGGGCAAGCCTGAGCCTAAGGGATTGCTGCACAAGCACATCTATAATCCTATTCCTGTAAGAAAAATTATTTTAGTTATTACTAAAAGGGGGGGTGGCAATGGGATGTGTACCAAACTCTCCATAGTGGTTATATTCTCCACTGGGAAAATTTTTACTTTCTCCATTATAGGTTGTAGATCTCTGCAATGTTTGACTTTTTCATAGTGTATACCTATTTTAGAAAGAGGAGAGGAAGAGGAAATTTTTAAGAATTAATTTATTTTATCACCTTCCTCTACTGGATTCCATGCATACTATGCCACCTTCTGGTCACTATACGGCTTCTTTTGTCTGTGTCAAGGACAGAACACCATTAAATGTGAATACAGGAGTTAAGAGTTTCTCCCACCTGCCTGCCATGGGAGGTTCGGTTGAAGGGAGAGCTTTTTGATTTGCTCAGGTGGGTGATGGCTGGGCATGAACAGGGACAAGCTGAGAGATCGGGGGCTGGTTTTACACTGAAGCCGCCATGTAAAAAGCCAATTCTGAAGGGGAAGAAAGCAGAGAGGAGAGAGAGACGTGAGCACTACCCTCAACAGTGGAACGCTGTGTTAAGGGAGGAATTTGTAAAGGGATTGTTAGGAAAGTCCTATGTAACTCTCTCCACATGCCCTCAAGAGACCTTCAGTGAAGATTGCTGTGACTTTTCAAGGCCCTGTGGGAAAGCATTTCAGATGCGATGAGACTTAAGGATAGACTAGGAAGGCCCAGATTTCTTTGCCATGCTGTAGCTTTCTCACAGGAAGGGCCTGTCCTGCCCAGAAAAAGGAGTGTTCTATCAGCTCCACAGTTCTAACTCCCTGTGTGACTCAATGGGCTCCTGGTTTAGACTTCAGTCTCTTGTGAATTGCATCAGTGTGAGTCAGTCTATTCTGAAAGGTTGCTGAAAAAATGGAATTTCTGGTCCTGCAGGGCCAAATTCTATAGCAATCACCCCTATCAATATGCTGCTCCCTCAATGGCCCTCCCTGAGCAGAGATAACATCTTCCTTTACTCTTTGACCTAACAAAGATTTAATATTATGTGCCAGGCACTAGGCTAAGTGCTAAAGATACAGAGATGAGCATAAATAGATAGGAGCCCTGCCTTCATGGAATTTGTCATCTAAGGGGTGAAGGGTAGGACAGACATGAATCCGGTTATGTCACAAACATGTAAAATTGTGATGTTTGTGCTACTGTCATAATTACAGGAGGTCTGCATGGTGCTTTGAGAGCTTATAGCAGAGGGATTTGACCTAGCCAGGAAGATCCGAAGATGAATAGGAGATGTGGAAGTAAAGAGAGGAGGGAAATGCACTCCAGGAAGGCTTTGTAGAGGCCCTGTGGGAGGAGGGACATGGCAGGGATGAGAGACATAAAGAAGGCAAGGAGGCTGATGTGGAGGGAGAGGTGGGGTGGGTTGGAAGAGGAGGGGGTGGGGCAGGAGTGGGGATGCCAGGGCATTTGTACTTTAAGAAGATCACCCTGGCCAGAGTGGATGAGGAGAGGCAATTTAAGAGACAATGGATGAGAGACCTGTTGCTCACAAGCACAGAGAACTATATTCAATACCTTGTAACAGCCTATAATGAAAAAAGGATATGAAAAGGAATATATATATAATATATAATATATATATATATAACTGAATCACTACACTGTACCCCAGAAATTAACACAACATTGTAAATCGGCTATACATCAAATTAAAAAAAAAGTCTATTGCTCAATCCCGCTAGTGGATATACACCCCAGGAAAATCCTCGCACAGGCCACAAGGGGACGCCCATGAGGTTGTTCACTGTGGCATTGTTTGTGGGAGCCAGTAGCTAAGAGGCAATTTAGAGCTCCAGCACCATAGATCTGAAGAACTAAAATGTGGGTACCCACTATGAAATATTGCACAGTTGTTCTAAGTCACAGTCTAGGTGTATACCCAACAAGGTTAGGTCTTCAAAGTATGATGCTGAGTGGAAAAGTAAGAAATAGAATGAGATTCATAGCACAATACCATTTAGGTAAATTAAAACTGCATACTAAACAAGACACATGTCTTACAAAGACACTCCCACACAGGTTGGGGACACAGACTGGAGAAGCGTGGAGGAGTGGATAAAATAGATAAAAGGCTATAAATACATAAAACAAAAGAGAGGCTACGCAGAGCCCAATGATGATAACGTACCATAAAGTGAGAAATGAGTAACTCAACTTTTGCATCTGGGATTTTGAAAAAATCAATAAATGAAAGCTTCCGTAGTTGTTTAGGCAAGAACAGAGGCACTCTGGACTAGGGTGGATGTGGTGGAGATGAAAAGTGGTGGACTGTTTTAAAGCATTTCAGCAGTGCCTGATAACATAGTAAGTCCCCAGCAAACATGAGCTGTTATTATTTTTACATTGCAGATACTTAGTGATGGATTAAATATGGGAGGGGAGGGAAAGGGTGAAGTTAATCCCGGCTGCTGGCTCGGGCCATTGTTGCCAAGTGGGAGGGGGAAAATGAAAACCGAGGACAGATGATTCTTTTGAAAAATTTGGATGCGAAGGGGATGACAGAACTAACTTACATATGGGCAACACTCTAAAACACTTTAAAATTTAATCAAGTGATACATGTTAAGGGATACATGTCTATTGTAGGAAACAGAAATTAAAGATAAATTAAAACAAACAAAAAATTGTGAGCTCCACCCAAACCTCCCCTGGGGAGCAACTAAAGTTGATATTTGACATTCAGGAGAAATAGCTTCTGAGACCTCTACAAACACAAAAATGTGAAGTCCTAGCTTGCATACGCCATATAAAATGCAGGATATGGAAGTTATATAGTAGGTGGTCATGTCATTTATTGAGAGGCTACAGAAAGAAAAGCAAACTTGAAGGAAGAAATTGATGCATTAAGTTTTGGGCTGAAGCAGTTTATGGTGAAGTCTGAGATTCTTCTAATGAATAAAAAAACATTGAAGGCTAATTATATGCCAGGCACTCAGGTAGGTACTAAGAACACATAGATGAACAGAATAGATGATCCTGACCTCACTGAGCTGACAAGTGACTCAAATAATCCAACAAATACGTACTTATAAATTTTGGTAGCGGTTACCTAAGATTACAAGATGCTAGAATGTAAACCATTGTAGTTAAATACGTGCTTACATCCTTATTACATTCCTGAGAAGATTCCCTAAGAGCATAATTTCTGGGTCTACAGATCTGTCTGTATCTATTTACTTTTAAAAATAAACTTTATTTTTTAAGTTCACAGCAAAATTGAGGCAGAAAGCACAGAGTTCTCATATGCCCACTGCTCCCCCTTCAATCAACAATCTGACCGTTTAAAAAAATCATTGTTTTATAGGCTTTGGGGAGTGCGAAAGGATACTGAAAACACACAAGGACCCTGGTTTGTTAAAATAAGGTTCAGCTGAAGAGTCAGAAACAGTGTCAAAGTGAAAACTACATTTCCCAAGGGGCAGCGCGGCACGTCATAGAGGAAGGAGGGCGCATGCGTAGAGGGGTCGCGCTGCGACTCAGCTCATAAAAGGGAAAAAGTGTGTGTGGTTCTCGACCTGCCGCGAATCTTCGAACGCAAGCGCGCTGTTATCCGCAGACTTTGAAAAGCATTCGAGGGACGGCGCGCCTGCTCCCCGCCGTCGCAATTTCCAGCGCGACGTGCTTGTACCACCCGCCGCTCGGTAGGTGGCTATGGTTCGCGGTTTGGGACCCCACCCCCAACCTGGAGAATGGCGGGAGCGGAGGGTCGGGGGTCCCCATTCCCGGGCCTTGCTGAGGCGGCTCTAGAGGGGCGGTGCGCACGCGCCCTGGACTGGGAGAGGCGGGGCGCTGGGAGGGAAGGCCCATGCAGCCCTTCTGTGCGATCTGCGCGTGCGCCGACCGGCCGCCCCAGGGTGGGAAGCAGCCGCACGCGGATCTTGATGCGGAGGCCCTCAGAGGTGGGGTACCGGACCCAGGAGCGAGAATATAAGGCAGAGGATGGGCCCCGAACCTTGGCAGCTTTTGTTATTTGCTCAGGAGGTGCCCATCTTAACCAACCTCATTTTCCCTTCTGATTCCTCCAGGTGCCTCATCTCTCTGCCCGTATGCAGCCAAAGCGTCAGCCTCTATTCATTAAGCACCCTTTCTCCTCCGAACCCAGTCCAGTCAGGCCTTGCCCCCCACCCCTCTACTGAAATAGAGGTTTGTCGAAGCCATCAGTGGTCTCTAGGTCGCCGAATTCAGTGTTAAGTTAGTTCTCAGACCCGTAGCAGTATTTGATGCAGTTGGTCTCTCTCTGCCTGTTCTGGAAACGCGTTCTTCATTTGCCTTGTGGAACATTGTTGTCTTTAGCTTCAACTCTCTCTGGCCTCTTCTCTGCTGATTCTTGCTCCTCTTCCTTATCTTTAATCATTGTACTGCTTAAAGGCCTCATCCTAGATCTCGGTGTTCATTTCTTAGGAGTTACCCGTTTCAAGACTTTAAATATAAAATCTATTGTGCTTAACTCTCATATTTCTGCTCTCAATTCAGTACTCTACCTGAAATTTTGAGTTTTACGTTTCCTTTTCGTCAATCTCCCATTCTTTCAAGGCCAAACACCTTGAGTCATTCTTGGTGTCCTGCTTCCCTTGTCTCCTTCATCAGTCAGCACATATTTATCCTTGAGGTTTTTACGTTTCACTACTGGGTGTCTAATTGAAGGTATTTTTGGCACTCGGTCAGTCCTTTCTGCCTGAGAATTTTTTTTCAGTATTGACATTTTCTGTCATTATTTATGCAGACTTATCCATTTATCTGTTCTGTTTGTCCCTTTTAGAATGTTATTTCACCTACAAATAAGTATATGGAACTATTTGTTTAATATCATTGTCCCTTTCTGGACTGTAAGTTTCCCAAGACCAAGGTCGGGACTGTTTGTCCCCTTCACTGCTATGTATCCCTCATGCCTGGCACAGAGTAGGTGCTTGATAAATACTGAGTGAATGACTTTATAAAGGGGAAGAACCTCTTTTCCATAGGTTAGAAGGAGACAGTCCCTCTTAGAGTATGTTGGTAGCAACTAATTTTTTTTTTTTGAATCAGGGAGGAGAAGAGATTGAATAGCCCAGCTTGAGAATTGTTGAACTGTTTCTGAGTTGGAAGACTGAAGAGGTTTCCAGGACTCAATTCAGTTCTGAAATCTATTTTGAGGATTTAATAGGTGCCATGCCCTGTGCTAGTTGCTGGGACTGTAAAGATGAATAAAACTGCATCCTTCTGTTCTAAGAGTTTATGATATGACAGGAGACACAAGAAAGTCAGTTAGTCTCTGGGTATATGTGTGATCAGTGCAAAAACAGAGGTTTGTGTATCGTGCTTTGAAAGTTCTGGAAATTTTGATTGCCCTTGGCATCAGGGCAGTTGAGAGGGGCCTGGGACAGCCAGATTTCCCTGCCAGTCTTTTCTGGCTATGAGCAGCTTTGTCCTTCTACCCCAGTATGCTGTGTGAATACTTTCATGTTCTCTGTGTGCCATGGTGCGAAAAAAATTGGCAAATACTGCTGTAAAAATGTTAACTTTGCTGCAATTTGATTTGGACCCTGAAAGATGAGTAAATTTGAGAGATCCGGAGGGGAGGAAGTGGAAGGATCTAACGACATTTCAGGCAGGCATAATAGAAGCATAAAAGTCTGTGCTTAGTTGAGGTGGGGGCCCTGAAATTTAGCAATATGGACATTGTAGAGTAAGATTGGTACGAGAGGGCTCTTTGAAAGGTGCCGTCCAGGATCTGAAACAATGCATTGAAAGTATTTTATAAACCAGAGTGTCCATTTTATAAATGCCTGGCCCACCACAGGACACCCTGCTCTCAGCGGGTAGGTCCATTAGAATCCATAGTTTTGGAGACCTACTTTCTGGAGCTAGAAGTAAGGACATGTGTTAAGTCAAAGTTCTTTTTTTCTGATTTCTAAAATTATATAGACTGTTACAAAAATTCTTACAAAAGTTTTGAAAATGAATCTTATTTAGGTATTTGATGAGTCATCTGCTTTGAAAAAAAGTACCCCATTCATGTCACTTCAGTGGTCGCTGTATCTGTAGAGTGAAAGAATGGTGAACATTGAACCAATGGGAGTTGGATGTTGATGCTACTAAGGATTGTTTGAGCCGTTAAGGCTTAGGTTGTAGAGTCAGACAGACCTGGATTTGAATCTCATGTCTGCTACTTATTACTTGCTTGACCTTGGGAAAGTCATTTATTTCTCCCAGACTCAAGTTTCCACAGTACTAAATGAATAGTACTTTGCAGGCTCGTTAAATAGGATAATCCACATAAGAGTGCCTAGCACATGGTAGGTACTCAGTAAGGAATAGCTGTCATTGTTACCTTTATTTTCCTACCTCTTTTGTTTTTTTCCCACCAGATGTTACTGAATGACCTAACGACTGGCAGTTTACAGTAGACAAAATGATTCTGCCTTTGTCATTGAATATGCTGAAGTTGTGACAAAACTTGGATTTGGGAGGAAGAGCATAGATTTTGTAGTTTGCAGTCTTGTAATCCCAGCTCAGCTACCTGTCTTTCCTGAGTTACCTAGCGTAACAGCCTCTCTGAACTCCAGTTTCCCCAGCTGTAAAGAAGATATGCTTGAGGAGTGCAGTCGGTTTAAATGAGAATCACCAGTGTAAGCGTCGGTACAACAGCATGGTAGATCCAGAGGGTGGGATGGGAGGATCATCAAGTCTTCTTAATTTTTTAAAAAACCAATTGATAAATGTAGATTCTTACTGATGGTGGCTAGATTGAGGGTATGGGATCTGAGTATAGAGTCTTAGATACCTTGCTTCCCTTTGACTCAGAACAAAGCTTTTATTGTCTTAAACCCTGTGGGATTAACTTTAGAGTGGTTTAACTATAGGATGTTTGCCTTTGTTTGTATGAGGCCTTGGCTGCTATTGGAGTCAGAGAACAGTTTTAGGCTGAGTGTTTAGCAGTCAATATGTACTTCCACCTTGCAGCTTTTGTCCCTAAGAATGACCTCTTTTTAGTC